GAGAGAAACTTGTGCTGGGGTTTGTCTCCCAAGTGCAGATCAAGCTCGACACTGCATCCTTACATCCAGCAAGTTACTGCCTCATACCCTCTCTAGATTGATCTCTGGTACTTTTTATTGTCTTCCGTGTGACATCCTTTTGCCCCTTTTATGGAAATAAGTTGTTCAAATTTATTTCTTGCAGGCTTATTCGCTGGATCACAGAGTTTTTTCTGGTGATGTTAACGGGGCTAGATCGAATAATTGGACCATTCTCATTGGAGACCATGGTATTTTGTAATACAAATGTTTATTTACTTCATAACATTCAAATTCATAGTTTGCTTTTAGATTCAAGTTTTTTGCTTTTGCCTTTCGTGCACATGCTTATGTTTAAAGGGAAGAAGCGGACCGGGGGCATGCAAACGCAGCAAGTACAGTCTGCTGTTGTCAATGCTTGCCGAAAGGTCTACAAATTGAAGAGCTATCTAATTAGTCCTGATTTTCAAAAATTGATTTTCAGCAATATTGATAGCTTTTCTATTGTTCTGTTGTTTGCCATACAGGACGATACATGAGAAGCTAGCCGCCGTTACTGATCTGCTTATGAAAATGATGTCAGGGAAATCCTAGATTCGGTCATTGAGGTTAGCAAAGAGGTTTTTTAGTGACAATGAGCGAAAAGGTTCCAGATATCACCCTTGCATGCATGGGATGGGAAATTTTACTGAAAATAAGGGTGCTGGAATTGTAGTCCACTTAGCTGATGAACATTTGATTTATGAAAAAGTGAGCTCCCTACTGACATTTGTATTATTATTATTTGCAAATTTCTAGTGGAAACAAGAAAGACTTGAAGATCCTAACTCGAGGAGGAGAGATGCTAGAACTTCGTTATGCCAACGGACAGCCGGAAACCATTTGCTATGTCCGGTTCTGCTAGTCAGGTCTGTAACAAGTTGATATACTTATGGCTTTTTTTTTAATTTTATGAGTGTAATAGCTATTTTAGTTGTGTGAATGTATGGATGGATTTCTGTTTTGTTCTGTTGCACTGTATTTGGCCCCCTTTTTGATATATTTGTTTTACTTCCTATTTCCTTAGAAAATAGCACAGTTGCTCTGTCCGGAATTAGTTGGCGCTCAAATGGATGTATCTAGATGTGTTTCAATGCTAGATACATCTGTTTGAGCGACAGTAATTCCGGAAGGAGTGAGTATTTTGTGATATAATATATTCATCCTAAAGATGGAAACGGGAAGAAGTGGCAAAATGTATAGAAGGAAAAGTGGGGCCGACAACTTCTTGCAATATATCTGTACTGTAGCCATCCCCTAGAACACATTGTTTCTCCTGGCAGCAAGCTGAACATGCCATGCACCATATGCCATCCGAAGACATTTTAATCTCACTTAAAAATCCACTGTGCAGCCTCCTATCATGACCTTTAGACATTCAAATGCTGGTAATTTTTCAAAATGAGAAAACCAGGTAGTTATATATGACAGTGTTGCGACAATATTTTGTCCTGTGAGTGCCTGTCATAGGATCAAAATGAAAAGACTGTCAACTGATTTCATTTTTCAGACTTGCATTTGATAACCTGCACATAAAATCAAACCTCTGGGTGCTGTTGGTGTGAGCATTGCACTTGTGGGATTTCCTTCCTAATATTATTTCATCTGACTTTGTTTTGTCAAGGGTACACAATTGATCATCTATGTTTCTATATCGCATTCCACACTCCCTTCTAAGTTCTAATCGGTCACTGAGATTCCTTTGGACGAACTAATCTTTGCACTTTTTCAGGATCAAACATACCATCAGCGCACTTGTCTTCTCAAAAGGGTGGCGGCGGACTTCCTGAATGAGGGCGTGGGACTTGTTGTGGAACTTTGGGAAGCTGACATGAATGCGAGTTCTACAGAAACCCGCAGACAAGGGTTAGTGGGGATTTGCTGCTGTAAGGCGATATCGGCTGCCATTCGTGAACACCTTGCCATTAGGTAGGTCGGGAGTGCTGCTGTTGCATTGGATCATGGAGGTCGAAAATGTGCAATGTTCTCGTTGCTAGCCGAACGGCTACGCATAGTTGAGGCTTCTTCAGTACTTTAGATTGCTTTATACTCCCTCCGTCCGAAAATACTTGTCATCAAAATGGATAAAAAGGGATGTATCTAGAACTAATATACATCTAGATACATCCCCTTCTATTCATTTTGATGACAACTATTTCCGGACGGAGGGAGTATCATGTTGTAGAGTTCACTTTCTTTGTTTAAATTGTTCGCATGAAACACTCAATTTGCCAGTGTAGTTTTCCTGTATATCATTGCGAAAATAGATATAAGCTGATGGACAAAAACAACGTGTGTGGCATCGATGTTTTTTCCCCCTGGAACTACCGACAGGGATGCAGCCTATTTCTCACCCAAAGATGGTAGCCATCCAAAGTAAAAAATCGATGAGGGAACCTTACTGCAGTGATGATTTGTGATCGTAGTCATGCTAGCAAGCAGAAACCAAATTGTGATAATAATAATGTATATATGCAGGTTGGGTGGTGGCGTCGTGCCCGGCACCTAATGCGTGGAGGTTTGCTGCACTAGCACTACTGAAGTGATGAGGGAGAAGTGGAGACGACATGGCAAACACGCTGTGTTGTGTTGGTCATTCAAGTTCCCCTTCTGTCGGAGTAGTACTATAGGATCTCCTTTCGCCTTGCATATGCCGTCACCGCCGTTTATGTGTTGTGCATGTCTTGTGTCTGTGTTGGGCTTGTTGTACTGTGCCCACAGTTGAACCTTGTGTAGTGTTTGTGTGCCTGTGTGTTGGACCTTGCCTGCGGTGGCGTTGTGTATGTGTTGTTTGGATGGTACCATATTGACTTTATGCTCGGTGGTTACTTTATTTATAAAACGGGCGAAAGCCTTTTTTGATATATGCCATATATGCAATCTGCTTGCTCAACCACGATAGTAAAGAGACTGCAGTTAGATTGGAGCAGTTAGACTGCACTTAGATTGGAGCAGTGATACTTTCACCCTTTCACTCACACGAAATTAATTATCAATGAAGGCTTTTTAAAAGCCCCATAAGTCGTCCATCCAAAGAAACAGGGAGCCTTGAGTGACCGGCTGGGATAAACCTTTGAAAAGTTATGCTGCCGAATTACAAGGCCTTCACTATGATGTTGAGGAAAATTTTCAACTCCACACATAATCAAACCAATGAAAGCAGCTTGATACAATGACATAAACTCATCGCCAAGTAATCGATATGTGATACATGAACCTCTATAACTTCATGGCACCGTCAGAAAAGGACGAGAGTAACTTTATTCCCATATAAAACTATGTTCACCATTAAATACCAGGAATGGATATATAAAACTCCTAAAATTTGAAGTCCTCAGCGCCAAGGTGGTAGCCAGAAACAAGGGGACCAGAAATATATGCGACGGCTGCTATTCTTCCATTAAGAAACCATTATGTATGTACGTTTTATTGAGCACCTTGCATTGTACAAGGTGACCAGGCGAGAAAAGAAAATAGGTAATTGCCATTGGTTACTCGGCGGACGGCCGCAGGAGAGCATTTCCGAATAGGAAACTGTTCGCCCTCCCACCGGCGAAACAAAGGAAATAATCGATTTAATAACAACAACAACAACAACAACAACAAAGCCTTTAGTCCCAAACAAGTTGGAGTAGGCTAGAGGTGAAACCCATAAGATCTCGCAACCAACTCATGGCTCTGGCACATGGATAGCAAGCTTCCACGCACCCTTATCCATAGCTAGCTCTTTGGTGATACTCCAATCCTTCAGGTCTCTCTTAACGGACTCCTCCCATGTCAAATTCGGTCTACCCCGCCCTCTCTTGACATTCTCCGCACGCTTTAGCCGTCCACTATGCACCAGAGCTTCTGGAGCCCTGCGCTGAATATGCCCAAACCATCTCAGACGATGTTGGACAAACTTCTCTTCAATTGGTGCTACCCCAACTCTATCTCGTATATCATCATTCCGGACTCGACCCTTCCTCGTGTGGCCACACATCCGTCTCAACATACGCATCTCTGCCACACCTAACTGTTGAACATGTCGCCTTTTAGTCGGCCAACACTCAGCGCCATACAACATTGCGGGTCGAACCGCCGTCCTGTAGAACTTGCCTTTTAGCTTTTGTGGCACTCTCTTGTCACAGAGAATGCCAGAAGCTTGGCACCACTTCATCCATCCGGCTTTGATTTGATGGTTCACATCTTCATCAATACCCCCATCCTCCTGCAGCATTGACCTCAAATACCGAAAGGTGTCCTTCTGAGGTACCACCTGGTCATCAAGGGTAACCTCCTCCTCACACCTAGTAGTACTGAAACCGCACATCATGTACTCGGTTTTAGTTCTACTAAGCCTAAACCCTTTCGACTCCAATGTTTGTCTCCATAACTCTAACTTCCTATTTACCCCGTCCGACTATCGTCAACTAGCACCACATCATCCGCAAAGAGCATACACCATGTGATATCTTCTTGTATATCCTTTGTGACCTCATCCATCACCAATGCAAAAAGATAAGGGCTCAAAGCTGACCCCTGATGCAGTCCTATATTAATCGGGAAGTCATCAGTGTCGACATCACTTGTTCGAACACTTGTCACAACATTATCGTACATGTCCTTGACGAGGGTAATGTACTTTGATGAAGGAAATAATCGATTTCTTTCACTGAAATAAAATCCCCCCTCCTACTTTTCTTGTCTCCTCTCTCCCGTCCTAGCCCGTGAGTTGACTTGGTTTTGCTCCACAACAAGAAATTAGACGACCTCTCCAATCCGATCAGAATTTTGCTTCAACCTGATCGACTAATCTAGGCCGGCCGGCTCTCCGCCCTGCAACTGCGTCCCTGGCAGGTAATGAATTCCTCGTGCCACGCCCACCATTGTTTGCAGTAGCTCATACGCGTCATCGGCGTGCAGTTTGAGGAAGGATCCGGGGAGAAGCTGAAAGCCGCGCCATGGAATTGGAGGCCCCGGTGGTCGAAGCAGATCCGGGGAGAAGAATCACAAGAGGAGCAGGAGGCGGCGGCGGCGGCGGCGAGGGGGAGGGCCCGGCTGGTCGGACCACCCTCCTGCCCTGCCCCAACTGCGACATCCAGGTGGTGCACAAGCTGGCGCAGCTGCTCCTCCCGGGCCTGGCCGCGGCGTGCGTCGACAGCACCCTCGGGAGCCCCTCCTCCGCGCTCGCCGTCCAGCTGCGCGCGGAGCTGGTCCGCTACGTCGCGCACCGCAGCAGCAGCCCGCCCGAGGCGGAGGAGGAGGAGGACCCGATCGACCGCGACGACCCGGCCGAGGCGCTGGCCGCGTTCCTGGACGACTTCGCGGGCAGCAAGAGGAGCGTCGCCGTCTCCATCGCCGGCTGGCTCCCGTACCTGGGCGGCGGCGACGACGGCCGCGACGACCGGATCGAGGACCTCGTCGAGGAGATGGAGGCGAGCCGCTTCTGGCCGGTCGAGAGGCGGGAGGCCGTCGCGCGGGACCTCCTCCGCGGCCTGGACGCCGGCGGCGGCCGGTTCCGCTGCCGCGAGGAGCTGGGGACGCCGGAGGAGCTCGCGGACCACGTCGCCGCGCGCTGCGGATTCAGGCCCGTGCGGTGCCGGAACCAGGCCCAGGGCTGCCGGGCCGAGGTCTCCGCCTGCCGCGCCGACGCGCACGACGAGGCGTGCGCCTTCAAGCTCCTCCCCTGCGAGCAGCGCTGCGGCCTCGCCGTCGCCCGCCGCCAGATGGACCGGCACTGCGTCACCGTCTGCCCCATGAAGCTCGCCAACTGCCCCTTCTTCCAGCTCGGCTGCGAGTCCGCCTTCCCGGCCTGCAACCTCGGGTCGCACTGCGCCGAGTTCCTTCGGCCACACCTCCGCCTGCTCCTTAGTCCCAGCAAGATCGGCGCCGGTCGTCTGGATCCGGAGGAGCGTCTTCTACGGCTGGAGAAGGTGCCCCATCTCCTCTCTTCTACTGTAGTTTTCTAACATTGCTTGCTCAATTTATTTGTAAAATACTGGTAAAACTGATGCTACTCTATGTATGTTTCAGCATGATTCCGATGGTGCGTTGGGCGAAGCTTTGGACGTGAGGTCTCTCACTAACGCCATTGCTCAGCTAGAGAAGAAGATGGACGCTGAAGATGGTTCCCCCGGTTACACCGGAGACGACAACAAAGAAGCAATGCCCACACAAGATTCCAACTCCGCAGCTCTGCACTAGTTTCGTTCCCTGATGCAGGAATTTTTTGGAAAAAAAACATTTTTGTTTCTTATATACTCCCTCTGTACCATACTACTAGTATATATGTCGTTTTAACAGTTCAATTGAATTGCTAAAACGAAATATATTATGGTACGGAGGGACTATTTTTGGAAAGCACCACACCTTTTCTTTTTTGAACAATCGGCAGAAACGTTGTCCTTTTATTCAGAAGAACATAGAATTTGTACAAAAAACGATGGTCCCACTAATTAAGCAGTTTATACAAGGTTTGCGAAAAGTTGAAACCTAGGGTTTATGCTCTCAGCATTATTTGTCTCGAATGCTTCGCACTGGTAGTAGTCCAAAGTGATGCCTCTTTCTTGATGACATCAAGTAGCATTGTCGGCGTCGCCGATTTATGGCAGAAAATTCTAGCATTATCTCGTTCGAATTCATCCAAGAAATGACCATGTCGCGGGAGGCAATGGCCTTCTATTAGGGTTGTTGTTGCTTCACTTGTTGATCCATCATTCTTCGAGCGAGCACTCCGCCAACCAAGAGTTTGGATGGCATCAAGGCGTAGGCACTACTTGGTAAGTTCTAAAGCCTTAGAGCATCTTCAGCCGTTCGGCCCTTCAGGGTACCGAAAAAGAGCCCCCTGGGGACGAACCGGCGCTAGATTGACATGTGAGGGTGACCTAGCTCTCAGTCGTCGGCCCAACGGTCGCCCCGGATGCGGCGATATTATGTACAAAAATTATGTAAAGAGCCCCCTGGGGGACGAGCCGACGCTAGATTGACATGTGAGGGTGACCTAGCTCTCAGTCGTCGGCCCAACGGTCGCCCCGGATGCGGCGATATTATGTATAAAAATTATGTAAACTTGGCGACATTTGCACGAACTCGGCGAAACTTCATTCAAATTTGTACATAAAACATGAAAACATGCAAACTACGACTGAACTACGCATAAACTACGCCTAGCCACCACCGTCCGCCGCCGCCGCCGCCACCGCCGTCTACATGCCGAGAAGCCTATAGAAATGGGTGTAGTCGCCGCTGCCGTCATCATCGTCGCGCGACTGGCTTGGGCCGGTGACGTCGCTGCTGCAGCCCTGGCCAGGGTCGGCGAGGCGCGGTGGCGCGCTGGACGGCCCGGCCTCCGCCTCCTCGTCGCTGCCGAGTACGATGATGCCGCGCTCCTCGCGCCTGTGGCGCCGGGCCTGGAGCTCCGTGTATGCCCGGCGCTGGCGGCGGACCTGCTCACAGACGTAGTCCTCCTTCGCCCACTTGAGAGCGGACTCGTCGTCGGGGGCAGCCATCTCGACATGCTCCGGCTTCACCGGGAGCAGCCTCGGCTCGGGCTTCGGCCGGACCAAGCGAAGGGAGCGCCTCTGTAACACCCCGTATGTAACTTGCCATATTTGTATTCCAACTCTTGCCATTTTCGGCACTAAGTTATGATATTTCCTCGTTGTCGGGTTTTTGTCTTCGTGTGTTTTTGTCTTTGTCATGCATCTCATATCATGTCATCATGTGCATTGCATTTGCATATGTGTTCGTCTCATGCATCCGAGCATTTTCCCCGTTGTCCGTTTTGCATTCCGGCGCTCCTATGTCCTCCGGTGTCCCTTTTTACCTCTTTTCGTGTGCGGGTGTTAAACGTTCTCGGATTGGACCGAGACTTGCCAAGCGGCCTTGGTTTACTACCGGTAGACCGCCTGTCAAGTTTCGTGCCATTTGGACTTCGTTTGATACTCCAACGGTTAACCGAGGAACCGAAAATGCCTCGTGTGTGTTGTAGCCCAACACCCCTCCAAAGTGGCCCAAAATCCACCTAAACCTCCTCCATCATCTAGGTCGTTCGATCACGATCGCGTGGCCGAAAACCGTGCTCAATTTGGAGCCTCCTAACTCCTCCTACCTATAAAAGGCCTTTCCCCCAAAAATTCCGGATCCCTACCTACCCTAACCCTAGCCCCGCTCCTCTCCGCGCGCCGGACTCGTCCGCCAGCGCCGGACACGCCTCGCCGCCGCCACCCACAGCGCGCCACGTGGCAGCTTCTCGCGCCCGCGCCGCCGGCCCGCCAAAGCCCAGGGCGGGCCCTCCCGCGCCGCCAACCGGGCCGCGCCTCGCCGCCCGCGCCTCCTCACCGCGCCGCCTCCCCGCCGCCATCGCCGGCTGCCGCCTCGCCGCCTCGACTTCGTCGCCGGTCGCGGCGCCACCGCGCCGCCCGCACCGCCCGGCGCCGCGCCAGCTCGCCGTCGACACCGACAGGTGCCCCGCGCCCCTCGCGCCCTCGGGTCCCGCTCCGACCGGCCGGACTCTTCCTCCCCGGCGACGCCCCGTGAAGCTCCGGCCGTCTACAGTGTTCTCCGGCGATCCTCGAATCCCGTGCACGAACCCTAGATCCGATCTGAGACGGTTGACTTTTTTCCTCTCTCACAGTATTTTTTTTGCATATTTTCATCACATCATAACTTTGCACCCGTGGCTTCGTTTTGGGCGTGTAGCATATCAAATTGTTCGCCTCGATGAGTACTTCATTTCATTCCATTGCACCATGTTCATTTGAGCTCATCTTGATGCCCTAAATGTTGTTGCAAGAGTGCTAGTTTATATTAGTTTCAGATTCTTATCAGTAATTGGACATTTGTCATTTTTGCCATGATTGTTGTGTGCCTCCTATGAACTTGAGCCCTACATGAGTTTTGAAGTATGCCATGCCATCTTTACGGGGGTGTATGCCATGTATTTTTGTGATCTTTGTGGTGATTAGCATAAGCATGCAAAGTAGCTCTCGTAATGTTGCTGATTTCAGGAACTTGGAAATATTCTAAGTCTTTGCACTGATTATATTTTTATGCCATGTATTCATGTTGCTACAGAGTGATCCATGCCTCTTTTGAGCATGATTAGTAAGGATGTTTCATAGATATTGTTGTGCTCTATCCATACATGTCTTTGCTTGCAATTATGGAGCATGATCAGTAAGGATGTTTCTTGTCATGTTTAGCTTCTATGCCATGTCTACTTGCTGGGTGTATGCTTAGTTTGTCATGCAATGCCTTGTGGTGAGTGCATCGAGTTCGTAAACATGCCTACTTAATATCTGTTTTGCCATGTTCTAGTTTTCTTCTAAGTCTGAATCTGTTAACGATAATTGCTATGTTCACATGGTTGCTATTGTATTTTCTGATCCCTTTTGGCTTATGGTCAGTAAGGGACTTTTGTTGTATGCTTTTAGTAGCTTCATGCCATGCCTTGCTTTGCCATGATATGTTCCTGTAGCATGTTGTTACCTTGCCCTAAACATTGCTTCCTGATATTAAATTCCTGACTTGTTGTTATTTTCACAAAGTCTGTAACCTGATATCTTTTGCACTTTTGCCATGCTTGTTTGAACCTGCTATTGAGTGAATTAGCCGTATCTCAGTGTTCATCTTTTGTCAAGCATCTTGATTGGATCCCTGCCATGTATTTTGTTGCTATGTTAGAGTGCTGTAGCATGCTATTCTTGATGCATTTAGATGGCCTCGTGCTGTTAATGGCAGCTTTGTGTCATTATTGTTTTGCTTGCCATTTGCAAACCGCGCATCCGATTCCGGTGATCTTTATATCGATTTCGACCTAAAATCAACTCCTCTTTCTAGTGGCACTCTTGGTTTTCCAAGTTGAGGCCAGGTTCAATCTTTCCTTTCCGAAACATGCATATGCATCGCATATCACATCCCGCATATCATGCCATATTTTTGCATCATGTTGCTTGTGCTTTGCACGTGGTTGATTGTGTCTCCCTTTTGCTTGTGTTCTTGCTTTGGGTAGAGCCGGGGGACGAGTACGTGATCGAGGAACCAGTTGAGTACGCTTACAAGGATCAAGCTAACGTCAAGTCGGAGAACTTTGCAGGCAAGATGACCATACCCTTGAAATCACTTCTATCTTTGCTTGCTAGATGCTCGCTCTTTTGCTATGCCTATGCTACGATACCTACCACTTGCTTATCATGCCTCCCATATTGCCATGTCAAACCTCTAACCCACCTTGTCCTAGCAAACCGTTGTTTGGCTATGTTACCGCTTTGCTCAGCCCCTCTTATAGCGTTGCTAGTTGCAGGTGAAGATTGGAGTTTGTTCCTTATTGGAACTGTTTATTGTTAGGATATCATTATTATATCTTGTCTATTTTTTAATGCATCTATACACTTGGTAAAGGGTGGAAGGCCCGGCCTTATGCCTGGTGTTTTGTTCCACTCTTGCCGCCCTAGTTTCCGTCATACCGGTGTTATGTTCCTTGATTTTGCGTTCCTTACACGGTTGGGTTATAATGGGAACCCCTTGACAGTTCGCCTTGAATAAAACTCCTCCAGCAACGCCCAACCTTGGTTTTACCTTTTTCCACCTAGCCTCTTTTTCCCTTTGGTTTCTGGAGCCCGAGGGTCATCTTTATTTTAAACCCCCCCGGGCCAGTGCTCCTCTAAGTGTTGGTCCAAACTGGGCGATGTCCGGTGCCACCAGGGGCAACTCTGGGCTGGCCTACCCGACGTCTGGCTCATCCGAGTGTGCCCTGAGAACGAGATATGTGTAGCTCCTATCGGGATTTGTCGGCACATTTGGGCGGCTTTGCTGGTTTAGTTTTACCATTGTCGAGATGTCTTGTAACCAGGATTCCGAGTCTGATCAGATTGTCTTGGGAGAAGGAATATCCTTCGTTGACCGTGAGAGCTTGTGATGGGCTAAGTTGGGACACCCCTGCAGGGATTTGATCTTTTGAAAGCTGTGCCCGCGGTTATGGGCAGATGGGAATTTGTTAATGTCCGGTTGTAGATAACCTAAAGCTTAACTTAATTAAAATGAATCAACAGAGTGTGTGGCCGTGATGGTCTCTTTTCGACGGAGTCCGGGAAGAGAACACGGTCTCGTGTTATGCTTGAACGTAGGTTGATCTAGGATAACTTCTTGATCATAGTTTATCGAGCGTGCCTTTGCCTTCTCTTCTCGCTCTCTTTTGAGTATGT